TTTCAAGGCCGCGACGAAATCGGCAGAAAATGTTATTAAAATCGAGCTTCTTTTGAAACCGATTGTGAAAAACTTTCAAAAATGTGTTACATATTTTTTTGTTGATAAATGTTTGATCAAAAATTTCTAGTTTGGTAAATATATCGCTAAGCGTTAACATTTCTTGTTTATGACGATGGTTTTGGAGACTGTACATGTTAAAAATATTTTTTCCTATTTTAACATTGCTCTTCCTTAAAAATTTTAAAAATCCCAAAAAGCTTTCTTCCGAGAAGCAACTATGAGAAAATAGAGCACCGTTATTTTTAACTTGTGAGGGAAAATATCTGAATAAATGATTCGTATATAAATCCCAATCATGGCCATAGATATTAGCTAATTCTTTACGATAATTGTCTATAAACATATCAGCATAATCAATATCTGTTCTGTATTGATAATAATGTAAAATGCGAATTGAAATGAAGAATAATACATAATGACTAGTTACTTGATGTGGAACATAATTAATTGCAAAGGGCATCGAAATATATAGTAGAAAGAAACGATAGTCTTTACTCTTCCACCAATCGATCTGACTTAGTAGTTTGAATGAGACTTTGGTATCGTGTGGCATCATAATATTGAGAATGAAATCCGACATTGATTGTGCAACATTTGCTGATGCTGAGGTAATCCATCTTCTCAATACATGTGCCATATGGCCTGATGATCCACAGCAAGCATGCATGTAATCGAACAGAGCGTGCTCACTAACGTTATCGAATATTTTTAATAAAGGACTCGTGCCTTTAATGCCTTGTACGATGGCATGTTGCGTTACTGTTGTTCTTGAGTCGGCCATTCTAGCAGCATTCAAATACATTTGTTGTGTTCGAGGTGTGGGGTTAGTAGTATACGGATAATACACCATGTTTGAGTTGCGCGTTTCACCGTGTTGTAGGCAGTTCGTACACGCATCAAAGCCATTAAACTGGGATATTTTCCATTTTAACGACCGACACGGTTGATCGTTCTTATCACCTTGGAATTTAATCTTAAAATTAATCTTTTTGTTGGAATTTATTACCGTTAATCCTATTGTTCGTAATTCGTCTAATCTCTTAATCAAATTGTTAAGTAGGCATTCAGGTGTTGGTTCTTTTTTGGAGAAATATAACGATAATAATATTTTGTTTTGGGCATAATCACGAAGTGGTGGTGGGATCTCAAGAATGGTGGCTGTTGTTGCATAACAGTGCTTGTGTTTTGTGGTGAGAATGTCAAAGCCATCAGAATCTAAAATATTATGAGGCTATAATGGTGATAAGTTCATGTTTAGACTGAGCGAAAAGTGCTGATACTGTGCAGTTTTCGATTCAGAAAAATAATTATTGAATGAACGAATAACTTACGTAGTTGTATGGTTATTGTTGGATCGTTGGTTGCATCTCTTTGGTATATCGTGCCATTTATTATATCATTTGGCACAAGAAATTTAGCTTGTTTTGGATATTCCATGATCAAATCGATATTTCTTTCAGCCACTCTTGACATAGAACCTTTTATGTCAGCTAAACATGTTTCAATAATACCGTCATCTGTTCTTAATTTTCCGTTCATTGGGCATAATATAGAACAAATACCAGTTTTTGTATCTAATATATTTGTACAATGAGCACATAAGACGGAATAAGTAAATGAGTTTTTTACGCTCATCCATTTTGATAAATGTTTCTGATTCAATAAACTATCATTCGGTAGTAACAATATAAGTAATAAAATTAATCGTTTTTGTTGAACTAGTGTTAGTTTAAATTCTGAAATGTAATCACAAATATAAATATAAGCTTGCTCAACAGTAATATTTGAATTAAAATATAATGGTTTGGTGTTGTGTAAATCACCGTCTGCTTGAGTGAATAAATCATCATTATCCGATGTGTCATCCATACTAATATTGTAGTAGTGATCATCCTCTGAGTCAGTGTCAGATGTAGTGTCGAGCGAGTCTGACTGATTTTCGTTCAAGTCACAAACTGTTGGGTCATTATTTATGTTGTCACCGATGGCACTATCAAAACGAGGATTTGTGCTATGTTGATTATGAGATGAATTGTAGAGCAGTTGTCGCTGTCGATGTCGAAACTCTTTTTGTCGTGAAGCATTAGCAGACACACCTACGAAGGGACAAAGGGAGTTATAATTCACACAATCAAACTAAACAGAAACGTAACCGCAGATGAACCTTCGTATTTCAGCCTCAAATTGAGCTCTTCACAACAATGATATTATTTTGACAAATACATACTGCTCTGTGTCAGAGTGCTAGTCAGTGATAACCATAAACTCATTATTATTTAATCT